GTAAATATTATCTTTGCCTTTTATTTGCAAGCAAGATCTTTTGAACTGTTATTTTTTTACTAAGTTGTGCATCAGGTGAGTGATTCTTGAACTAGATTGTGGTTGAAATATGTTCAGGTGGAGTACGACTTTGAGTAATACAAGATGGAAATGACTGCTGATGTCCAGTTGCTTATATTTTCGAAGGGAAATCAAACATTGTCCTGCGTGATTTGGTTTACCTTTTCAGCCTTCTCACAGGGTTCCTTTGAAGTTGTGCCTATAGAAACGTAGAAGCTTGGGATGGTACTTGGCTACCGTTAGATCATTGCCACATTCTATTGAATCAGAAATGCAGCAGGTATGCAAAATATGTAGCCTGCATTTCTTCAGATAAATTTTCTCGAGCATCTAAGTTATAAACCTATAACATGACACGGTGTACTCCAGGTGGTGGAAAAGATTGGTTGCAGCAAGGCAAACAAATAGAAGCCTAACAGCAAAGATTTGAGCAGGTTTAATAACTTACAAGCTGTTATTATGTGATATTATTGTCAAATTATAAAGTGTTTTAAACTTGGAGCGGATTTTTGTTTAATTGAACATAACAAATATTGCATTTACAGATTGGTGACAATGGGGCGCCTGATGTCTGCAAGTTGGAGAGACAACTTTGACATTGCAACATTGGCAGTTGGTAAAGGAATGGAGAGGCTGAGAATGGAGAGACTAAGTACATTCTCATCAGTCGATTATTGACCAGATGATTATAACCTGTGGTGGTGGCGGATCTCTGAAAATTTAATGGGTCTGTGTATAATTGGAGTTGATGTACAATCACTAATTACTATGAAAATTTTTTTTTTTCCTTCTTTGGTATTCTTTAAAGCTTATTAACCTAAAGGATTTTAATGCTTGTTCTAACTAATAGTGCTGATGTACAATTAACTACCTATGCAATCCTGAATTAAACCTGAAAAACTATTCCCAATTAGGCCTGCAACGAGGCGTCCACAGTTGCTCGGCTCGAGTTGAGCTCTAGTGCCAATGTTATATTTTTTATATTAAATTAATACGATGGAATCCATCCACATGGCCTGACTTGGTTAAATTGGGCTTATATTTCGGGCTGACCCACTTAAATAAAAATCCTAAATTTGGACATCTTTTTTCCGTACAGTTGACCATGGACGGTTACTCCCATAAGTAGTTATTATATATAACATATATTTCTTGTTGTTTCCACTTAGTGTTTTTGGTTTCTGTTGATGCCTACTGATAACTAATTGCATTGAATGGTAATGGTTTCTTCTTTTTGTGGAAAAATCTGAATTTCACTAAAACATCATGTTTAAATCTGAAGCCTCGTCTTGGGGCTAATCCTAGATGGGACTCTGGCAGTCTGGCTTATACTCTCCTCAACGTATCTGTTGTATGTGTCTTTATTCCTGTGGTGAGTGCAGTGTTCCTCATTCTTCTATTTGCAGGTAAAGCAGCCTCTGCTCTCAGAAATGTATTTTGGGTTTTTAAACCACCTCTGACTTGTATTTTGACTGAAAAGTTAAGGAAGATCATTATATTATATCAAGCATACATTATTGTTTTTAAGTTCAAATCATTGTCACTGTATTACTGGTTAACAATGAAAGATTGGCATATTGAATTGAGATTGTCACCAGATTTTGGTGATCATCTTTCCTTATATTTTTTTTCTCTTTCTCTTATTGAAATGCATTTGTTTGTTGTATATTTGATACCTATCCCAATCTTACTGGTCAACCATCTTTGCTGAATTGCAGAAAGGACTGTTATTGCCATGACTGTTGCAAGCTCTGTTAGTAGAAGAAGATTGTTTGCCCAGATAAATGCTTTACTGCTGTTTTATTCTTGCTGTACAAACTAACTTAACAGTATGCTACCTCTATGGTTAGATTCTGTGCTGTAATGTATTTGATTTTATACGTTGCTGTTCAATAATTTCTCAAGGATGTGTTAGGCATGTGGTTATACTTTGCAGAATAATTAATGTCTTCTCTCTTCCTACCTCCTTCCCTAGTAGAGAGAAAAGAAAAAAAAGTTTGTTCCAAAGTTTAGAGCCAAATATTATGACCATATGAAAATTTAGTATACTGTCTTTCAAAACAAATCTTGAAATCTTGCATATAATAAACTTCCCAATATCGATAATTCAAATTTCAGTTCACTGCTTCAGCTATTTTGTTCTCAACTTTGGTACATTAATTACATAATGCATTCTTTTCTTAGTTTTATATCCTTTGCCTGAGATTTGCTTGTTATCTTTGGCCAGGTATGTTTATTATGGATCGCACAGCTTCCATTAGGACGCGCCCAGCACAACTAGCAAAGCTTTCACGCTTCCTCCCCTTCCTGAATTTTTTTCTGGAAAGGATGATTTTTTTGTACAAACTAGTCAGTTATGTAGTTCACTTAAATGTCTTACTATTCAGTAACTAACAAAGACATAATTAATGACAACAGTTCAGGCATTTGTGTTGCCCAAATTTATATAGAATAATACCAAAATAAAGAAGCAAATAGCAGCCATCTAACTGAAAGGTGAGGTAATTAATTTCATTCAGAAAGAAACACATAACATGGAGGACTGCCATGAAATGCTCCTCCACTTCCTCTCAGCCCAGGCATCACATATCAATATCGATCTCTAGGTGCTTTCATTATGTTTAAACTTCTGATGACCAATGAAACCTATCAGAATTACTTTCAAAACACAAACAAAAAGCTGGCAATTTTTCAATCACATGAAAGCTTTTTGCCTAAATTTTGGTCCAAAGTGAACGGGGCATGATATTTTATCGCATATTAAAGATCAAGATTGAAGCTGTTTGGTTAACACTAATTAATCTCCCTTTTCAGTTATTCCAAGAGTATCTCTTCAAGAGTACAGGGCTCTCTCTTAATCAAAATAAATATTATAAAAACTTGATAAATTATCACAAACCCCTTTTTTAAGAATAAGATATTCATCTCAAATTTCAAATCTCAAACAGATAAAATAAAAATCAATACAGTTATGATGGAGTATCATTAATATGTCTAAAAACTGAACATAAACAATTTATTTTGACAACGTACGATGAGTATCATTGAAGATATCTGGCCACAATTGATCCCCAAACACACCGCCGATGCCACCGACCCGAACTTGACTCACCACGCCACCACTGAACCCTAAACCCCATACATTACAGGCCACATATTGCTGCCGTCAGCTTTATTAATAAATAAAAAGATATAATTCTACAACGGGGAAGATCAGAGCAAGATGCCCGTTACGTTGACGAAAGCAGGCCGTCCACCAGGGAAATAATGATCCGATCATATCCAAGAGAAGTTTGCCATATTACCGTTTGAAACTACTGGCGCCACGGATTGTTCATCATGCAACGCCCGTCGCGCGATAATCGCGGAGTGATGTTGGCGTTGTAGACGGGGGTGGAAAGTATTATGAAAATGTTTAAGGGCATCTTCGAGACAGTTCACTCCTCCCTGAGCACCATTACCAGATGAAGTGATTTCCATCATAACCAGGGCAACATAGCTTTATTGCCGATGGCCCTTCTTTTTAACTGGGCAGATGGAGATGCGCTGGAAAGCTAGGGTTTTGGTTGACATAGTAGCGAATGGTAAATAGAAAAATGGATTCGAGAGTAAAATAATAGAAAATTCTTTGGCCAACGCTTACAAATTCTTGCGTATGGTAGGTTCACATTTATAGATGAAATTATTACTGCATGCAGTTTTTGCCGGATATTGATTAAAAAGCAGGGTGTTTATCACAGTATCCCTAAAATTAATTGTTTGATAAATTTGGAGAGCTGAATTATTGATTTACTTGTATTACTATGGTAGGTCCGATTCTTAATCCGACAACTATGAGATGGGTTCAGCCCCATACCTTGGTTGGCTTTCGTGGAATGATACAAGATAGTGGGAAATGAGTTCTATGCGGCTGCTTATAAGGTAGTATTTTGCGTTTTGATGAGGAGAAGACACTATAGAGGAGTTCGCAAAGACGTGGGGTAATGGGGCCGAGATTCGGGATCAAGAAAGCAGCTAGGGTATGGGCTAGGTAAACAAACTAAGGACTGTTCGATACGGCTGAAGCCGCTGCACTAGCGTACGATTGAGCGGCACCTCAGGTTCAAAGGAAGCAAAGCTAAGCTAACTTCCCTGAAAGAGTTGAAGGAGGTCAGAATTAGTTACCTCACGACTCACAGCAGCAGCGGCATGCGGTAACTACACAAGTTCGAATCCAGTCATTGTTCCAGCTCCTTATAAGTCAACGAAATAGAGACAACAATATGAACAAAATAAAATAGTAAAACAAAATAAACAGTAAACAAAGAAAAAAAAATACGCGGATTTATCCTGTTTATCAATAGGGCTACGTCCAGCGAGTCAATATTATTGCAAATATGCCTACACATCTCTCGTTACAATGAATGAATTGCTTTCACACACATAACAAGAGAAAAGTATGTTTATATACTAGGTTTAAAAGATTAAACCTAGTTTTACAAAGGATTCTTATTCCTAAGCCAACCCAAAAAGGAAATTAAAAAATTAAAAGAAATCTACAGCAGTATACATGGAAAAGCCCAAAACCGCCTATGGGCTCAGGGGCGCTACCCCGCGACCCCCGCCCGCTCACAGGGAAGCGGGGCACCCGCCGCTGATGCGGCCAGCCTGACCCCAAAGTGCGTCTCCATTACCCATTAATACTGAAGTAGTCGACAACCAACAATAAGCACCCATATATCAGCTAACAAGTTACCACTCGTCAAAATCATATGTGTACGCTCAAAGTGAATTGCATTAAAGAAGTTGTAGCTATAGCACAATTTGTAGGGTGTAAGAACAAGTATATAAAGTGGATCCAAGACATGGGAAAATGGGCCCTTCCGTCCGATGAATCGCAGGAAAAAGAGGAAGATCCCATTTTCCAGCTACTCAGTTAGATCCAGCAAGATAATTCGGTTATGGTTTCAGCACTTGCTCAAGTAATCGGAAGTACCGAAAACAACCCACTATCAATTTATCAAAACCCTTTAATTAACACCTCTCACTCCAACGCCGGTCAACAAGATCAATCTTCAATCTGCGCCTCTAGAGAACGAGGATAATATTTCTTTCGATTTGTTGGTTTCCTATAAGATTAAGTAATGTTTACGCTTTTTGTTTTTTTTTTCCCCCCAAACTCATATACTTTCATCCATTTTACTACAATGAAACGTAAATGTGTTATTGTAGTTTGATTTCGTTTCATTGTATACAAAAACTAAGCTAAACGTGCTTGTAAAAGGTAATGTAAGGAGAAGACACTATAGAGGAGTTCGTCAAAGACCGTGGGGTAAATGGGCCGCCGAGATTCGGGATCCAAAGAAAGCAGCTAGGGACTTTCGATACGGCTGAAGCCTCTGCACTCGCGTACGATGAAGCGGCACTCAGGTTCAAAGGAAGCAAAGCTAAGCTTAACTTCCCTGAAAGAGTTCAAGGCAGGTCAGAATTAGGTTACCTCACCACTGCATCAACCGCATCGGCATGCGGTAACTACACAAGTTTCGAATCGGTCATTGTTTCCAGCTCCTTCTCGTCCGCCTCTTCATCCAACAAACATACCCAATCTTTTACATTATTCGCAAGCTCTTCCGGGAGGCGATAGTGAAGTGAATTATGCTATCCCACCTGGTTTCTATGGTGGAGAACAAAATGCACAACGTTTTATGGGATTTAAAGTTCTATTTATTAGATATGTTCCATATTTTGACATAAAAAACTGTTTTTACACTTTCAGAACATAAGCTAAAGCATAAATCTTTACATGATGGTCATAATTTTTAATGTGCTGTGCATGGAATGAGAAAACTATTTAATAGATTGGGGAGATCATATTGTAGGATTATGCAGTAGAAGAGGCAAGCCATTTCTATATTTAATCACCTTAATTTTATTATAAGGCGGTCTTCATTGAATTTAATATTTATGGAGCACCAGATGAAGACAGTGGTTGAAGCATACTTAGTGAAGCCAAGTGGTACAATCAAGGCTATGTTCCAACACTGGAGAGTATTTGCAGATTTCACTGGCTACCACTCCATTTAAAATGCTGGCAATTGGTCTTTCCTCGGCATGGGACAGATGGCTAACAAATCGGCCTTCGATTGGATTGCCAATACCTAAAAGTGTTACAGCTTCAACAATTATAAGCAAAGACGACGTCGCTTCCGTACTTGTGAACCCAGTCCCCACTAAAAAGATAATGACATCCTTTTTTGACCTTTTGATTGTAATACACCCAGTTTTTGCCGTATATTTGATTAAAAAGCAGGGTGTTTTATAACAGTATCCCTAAAATTAATGTTTGATGAATTTGGAGAGCTGAATTTTGATTTTAGTATTACTATGTGTAGGTTGCGATTCTAATCCGAAACTATGAGATGGGTTCAGCCCCATACCTGGTTCGCTTTAGGGAATGATACAAGATATGTTGGGAAATGAGTTCTATGCGGGTGCTTATAGGTAGTATTTGCGTTTGATGATAGCATTCTATTGCCACTTTGATCATATTTATTTACTAAAAAAGATTTGTTGTTGTTATTTTGTAGGATGGTTCTGTATGGAGGACAAACAGTTCATGGATTTTCAGTATCCTATGACTTCTTCACTTGATTCACCTGATATACGAGTCTGGGAACGTCGTTTGTGTACTGCATTCCGGTTAGTCTCGTTTATACCTTCTTGTTTAGGATGTCATGGATATTGCGGTTATTGATCTGTTGGTATTACTCGGTGGAGATGAGTGGGAATATTTGCTATTCTTGGCAACATATATGCTTGATTGTGAATGAAGTTATTTTCTTTGTTTCCATGGAGAAATATTGTACATAGAAATATTGAAATACAAGAAATTTGATTTGCCTCACGATCTATGGGGGTTTCCTTTTTCTTGTTTGTAGGTTCCAGGACATAATTCGTGGACTGAAACTTTATCTGAAGTAATGATGAATCGGTGCATGGATGGGACATCCCAACAGGGAGAGAAGCGCCGAAGGATGGATGATGATGCTCGAGTTCTGACCACGTGGATATGGTGGGACTTTCTTTCTTTATCATTTCGATTTTTTTGGCTCATAGTTTTGATTAACCTTCTGCACTTACAACAACAGGGGAACATTCAACAAAAAATTGAAAGGCTCTAAATATTATTATGGTATGCCCGGGGAAATAGGGCTGACGTGTCACTAGTTAAGTGCGAAAGGTCAACATTGGGAAGAGTTTACTGGCATTCTGGTGCAGCCTACACATCCCACCAACTTACAGATTCAGTGATCAATTATCTTAAGGCATCTCACTCTAAAATGAGAGCTTCCTTCTTATAAGGGGATTCGCACTATTTATCCTGACCAATCTCTCTCTCTCTTTCTAGAATAGACAATCTTTGTTACCTTGTATCATCAGTGTAAAGTCAATTGTTTAAAACGACTGACCCTTATCATTAAAAAAACATCAGTGGAGTAGGATTAACTTCCTTAACATCCGAACCACTTTAAACTCTTTCCAATGTATTTACTATGATTTTCCTTTCCATTCACGTGGTGTTTTGGGCCAACTCAACATTTCACACGTGCGTTTCATTGGTGTCAAAATCACGTATCAACAAAGTTAAGTATGAGCATATACGTTGATTGCTTATATTTCGCTGGACCATCATTGGCACATGCGTGAACTGCTAATTGAACCGTGAATAATGATTGATGATTGAGTCCTGCAGTTTGTAATCTATGTGATTTTTACTTTACCTGACTGACATACTGTGTTAATGGCAGGTTGCAGATCATGATTTTGAAAGTTCTCCCAGTGTCAAGAAGATGGTAAGAAGAAAAGTCTTCGCCAATAGCTTATCTTGGGTATTGGGATATAAAAACGATGGTTGTAGGTAATGTTTAAGTAGTCTTTTGATGTGCAAGTTTGAAAGGCCTTACCAGACAATAGAAAATTGCCCTTGGGTGTTATCTTTCTTCTTCGTAGATATTAATGCATAGTCTATTTTTTGGGGATCCTGTCCAAGGATTCTAACTTGAGGGCACTTCTAGTGTAAGTAACTTTGCTCATCAGTCGATTATTTTACCAGATGATATATAGCCCCGTGTGGGATGGTGCGGATCATCTGAAAATTTAATGGGTCTGTGTATAAATGGAGTTGATTACAATCACTAATTACTATGATAAATTGCTTTGGCTATTCTTTACTAAAGCCCTTTCTTATGATGGGATTAATGTTATTAAACCTAAAGGATTTTAACGCTTGTTCTAACTAATACTGCTGATGTACAATCAACCATGGTGTTAGTATCTACAATACCCGATACGTATCATACGATACGATTTGATACAGGTCGCCAACGATATGTATCAGAAGATGTATCCTAAACCATTCGATACGTTGATACGTATCCTACGATACGATACGTATCCTTAAAAATATCGATATAAATTGATACGACTTTATTAATTGGGTCAAATGTCCAAAAAAAAAGTCGGGTCGAAACCGGGTCACCAACCCGATTCACTAAAACTTGTCCAAATTACCTATTTTCATGGAGAAAGTAAAGAGGGATATGTATTGCCCATTTTACATGATAATAATAATATAAGTGGAGATATAGTATGACATTGATCTTGGAATTTTGTGTAATTTTGATTATGTAATACCATAATTTAAAGTCAATAATGCTATAAATTCTTAATTAATCTTGGGGATTATATTAATTTTTAGAAAATTTTAATTATTTTATTAATTTTTTTAAAAAAGACGTATCTTACGATATGATACAATACGCGATAATGATTCAAAAATAGATTTGATACACGATACGATACACATTTGATAACCAGCAATCAACAACGTATGCAATCACTGAATTAACCGTGTAAAAATAAGGCAAACTAGTCCCAATTAGGCCTGCAAACGAGGGGTCCATGGGTTGCTCGGGCTCGAGTTGAGCTCTAGTGCCAATGTATATTTTTTATATTAAAATTAATACGATGGAATCTCCACATGGCCTGACTTGGTTTAATTGGGCTATATTTCGGGTTGACCCACTTAAATAAAAATCCTTCAAATTTAGGACATCTTTTTCCGTACAGTTGACATTGACGGTTCGACTTGAGTTGAGAATACACGAGAAAGCTCATCAGTTTCTCCGTTTTTAGACGAGAACGATGATGTTTATGAACAAATCACGCTTAGATGCGATCGTCTCCTCGTTCGTTACGGTGCACCCGCACGAGACCTCCGCTCTTCTTCACTCCTCCTCCTGCTTCTTCTTTGTACGTTTTCATTTCATTTGATCTCACTTGATTAAATTATACATTTTTTGTTTTAAATAATTATATTTTTACCGTAGATTTTGAGCGCATACTTTGTTGTGTTACCTTTGCGTGATGAAGGAGCGATCTCACTTGGTTTGTCAAAATTGCCTGGTCTCTTCGTCGGATCGTTATTGCTTACTTTAATAGCTGCGCCTGTTTCAACTCTCATATTTTCCTTGCCTAATCTCTCTAAATCCAAGGTACTTCTTCATGGCATTTCTATTCTTTGTTGTATAAGTTTTTAATTGAGGAGCTTTCACAAATTGTCACTCAAATTCTGAACCATTTGATTAAATGTATTAAGTTAAGTAGCTGCATTTTAGTTACCATAATTTTTTTTTTTTTTTTCATTTACAGTCTCTATAACATTATTTGTTTTAAAAATGCAAGTAATTTTGTTTTAGTCTCTTGCAAATTGCTGTGTCATGCTTCATTGTTTCAGGGTTGTGACTAAAGTGGGGTTACATGCATGTATATATTCATCTTTGTTCGTAATTGAGAAGAGAGGAAAAGATCATCGTTTAGGCTAATAGCTGAAGTTTTTGAGTTAAGATTTATGCTCGTTTGCATATCGTGCTGTAATAGGTGCTTCTTGAAATTCCAGGCTTTGGTTTTGATACATAGGTTTTTTGGTGTATCGCTTGTTGTATTCTACATTCTATGGCAGTCTTCCTCAGCAGGGTATTTATCATCCAACTTGGAGGTGAGACGAGAACCACTGTTATTGTAATGCTCTCCGATTTTTATTCTCAGTCTATCTTTAGTGAACTATGTGCTTTCCCACGTGCAGGGTAAATTGAAAGAGGATCCAGAGGGTGACCTTAATCAAACTAGCACCGCAGGTTCTGTAGATTGGAGTAACCGTGGTTGGTTTTATGTTTCAGTCAGAATTGGATTCTTCCTTTGGGTAAGACAATAACTGAGTTATTTGTACTTGGTTTTTGCAGTAAATTATTGTTGAGCATTTTTGGTTATAGTTTAATATTATTATTTCTATTTTCTGCGTTGAAGGTGGCTTTGCTTAATTTGATTACAATTTCTTCAACTTGGGCTAGAGTGATTGATGTGATGAACACTGAGGTCTGTATGCAAGATCTCTTATGAAAATTGTGGTAAAAATTGTGGTTTTTTGAGCACATTTAACTTTGTCTCTTATTCAGTCAGGCTCAAGATTGTTTGGGTTCATTGGTGCTGGTGCTACATTTGGCCAGCTTTTTGGTTCATTGTTTGCCACAGCTATGGCCTTTTTAGGTCCATGTACGTTTTCCCATTCAATTTTGTACAATCTTTTGCTATTTGTTATATTCTTCTTTTTATCTTCCTTTAAACCAAGGGCTTGTTCATTGTAGTTCTCCTCCTGTTTGCTGCTCTGTTGATGGAACTCGCAGCACAGTCATCAAAAGGAATCAATAAGGATATATCTCATCCTTCTGAAGAGTTAACTCCCATAAGGTTAGCTATATAACATATATTTCTTTGTTCCACTTAGTGTTTTTGGTTTCTGTTGATGCCTAGTGATAACATAATTGGAATTTGAATAGTAATGGTTTCTTCTTTTCTGGAAAAATCTGAATTTCACTAAAACATATCATGTTTAATATGCTGCAATTTATAGAAGACATCTAGGTTGGAATTTGAATAGTTGGTTTCTTTTTTTTTTTTTTTGGCAAAATTTGAATTTCATTGAATTATATTATGTTTAATATGCTGCAATTTATAGAAGACATCTGGATCACATTACAGAAGATAACGTTTGCATGCATTCACAGACACAGAACACACACAAGCTCAGAGCTGTATAAGATCTTAACCTGGTTGATTTTGCATTTAGAAAAGCTGATTCTGATCAACAAAGTGAGGCTGAAGTGCAGACTGCCGCTGCAGCCAAAGCATCTTCCCCTAAGTTATCTACTTCAACTGTGAAGCCTCATCTTGGGGCTATCCTAGATGGACTCTGGCTTATACTCTCCTCAACTTATCTGTTGTATGTGTCTTTATTCCTGTGGCTGAGTGCAGTTGTCTCCTCATTTTTCTATTTTCAGGTAAAGCGGCCTCTGCTCTCAGAAATGTATTTTGGGTTTTTTAAACCACCTCTGACTTGTATTTTGACTGAAAGTTACGGAAGATCATTTATATTATATCAAGCACTACATTATTTCTTTTTTAGTTCAAATCATTGTCACTGTATTACTGGTTAACAATAAAAGATTGGCATATTAAATTGAGATTAATTTGCTTGATTTCTCATGGCTGCTCCAGATTTTTGGTGATCGTCTTTCCTTATATTTTTTTCTCTTTCTCTTATTGAAATGCATTTTGTTGTATATTTTATACCATATCCGAATCTTACTGGTCCACCATTCTTTGCTGAATTGCAGAAAGTGACTGTTATTGCCATGACTGTTGCAAGCTCTGTTGGTAGATGTGTGTGTGTTATTATTGTAGGATGGTTCTGTATGGAGGACAAACAAGTTATGGATTTTTTCCGTATCCTATGACTTCTTCACTTGATTCACTGATATACGAGTCTGGGAACGTGTTTGTTGTACTGCATTCCGGTTAGTTCGTTTATCCTTCTTGTTAGGATGTCATGGATATTGCGGTTATTGATCTGTTGGTATTACTCGGTGGAGATGAGTGGGAATATTTGCTATTCTTGTCAACATATATGCTTGATTGTGAATGGAATGTGTTATTCTTTGTTTCCATGGAGAAAATATTGTTACATAGAACAATTTGAAATACAAGAAATTTGATTTGCCTCACGATCTATTGGGTTGTTTCCCTTTTTTGTTTGTAGGTTCCAGGACATAATTCGTGGACTGAAACTTTATCTGAAGTAATGTGAATCGGTGCATGGATGGGACATCCCAACAGGGAGAGAAGCGCCGAAGGATGGATGATGATGCTTCGAGTTCTGACCCCGTGGATATGGTGGGACTTTCTTTCTTATCATTCGATTTTTTTGCTCATAGTTTGATTAACCTTCTGCACTTACAACAACAAGGGTAACATTCAACAAAAAATGGAAATGGCTCTAAATAAATGATGTTATGCGGGGAAATAGGGCTGACGTGTCACCTAGTTAAGTGCGAAAGGTCAGACATGGGAAGAGTTACTGGCATTCTGGTGCACGCTACACATCCCACCAACTTACAGATTCAGTGATCATATCTTAAGGCATCTCACTCTAAAATGAGAGCTCCTCTATTATAAGGGGATTGCATATTTATCCTTGACCAATCTCTCTCTCTCTTTCTAAGAATAGACAATCTTTGTTACCTTGTATCTCAGTGTAAAGTCAATTGTTTAAAACGACATGACCCTTTCTTAATAAAACATCAGTGGACGTAGGATTAACTTCCTAACATCCGAACCACTTTAAAATCCTTTCTCACTGTATTTACTATGATTTTCCTTTCCATTCACGTGTGTTTTTGGGCCAACTCAACATTTCACACGTGCGTTTCATTGGTGTCAAAATCACGTATCAACAAATTAAGTATGAGCATATACGTTGATTGCTTATATTCAGCTGGACCATCATTGGCACATAGCGTGAACTGCTAATTGAACCGTGAATATGATTGATGATTGAGTTCGCAGTTTGTAATCTATGTGATTTTTACTTTACCTGGACGACATACTTGTTAATGGCAGGTTGCAGATCATGATTTTGAAAGTTCTCCCAGTGTCAAGAAGATGGTAAGAAGAAAAGTCTTTCGCCAATAGCTTATCTTGGTGTATTGGGATATAAAACGATGGTTGTAGTAATGTTTAAGTATGTCTTTTGATGTGCTAAGTTTGAAAGGCCTTACCAGACAATAGAAAATTGCCCTTGGGTGTTATCTTTCCTTCGTAGAATATTAATGCATAGTCTATTTTTTGGGGATCCTGTCCAAGGATCTAAACTTGAGGGCACTTCTAGTGTAAGTAACTTTGCTCATCAGTCGAATTATTTACCAGATGATATATAGCCCATGTGGGATGGTGCGGATCATCTGAAAATTTAATGGGTCTGTGTATAAATGGAGTTGATGTACAATCACTAATTACTATGATAAATTGCTTTGGCTATCTTTACTAAAGCCCTTTCTTATGGGATTAATGTATTAAACCAAAGGATTTTAACGCTTGTCTAACTAATACTGCTGTGTACAATCAACCATGGTGTTAGTATCTACAATAACCGATACGTATCATACGATACGATTTGATACAGGTCGCCAACGATATGTATAGAAGATGTATCCTAAAACATTCGATACGTTGATACGTATCCTACGATACGATACGTATCCTTAAAAATATCGATTAAATTGATACGACTTTATAATTGGGTCAAATGTCCAAAAAAAATCGGGTCGAAACCGGGTCACCAACCCGATTCACTAAAACTTGTCCAAATTACCTATTTGCATGGAGAAAGTAAAGAGGAATGTATGCCCATTTTCATGATAATAAATATAAGTGGAGATATAGATATTGACATTGATCTTGGAATTTGTGATTAATTTGATTATGTAATACCATAATTTAAAGTCAATAATGCTATAAATTCTTAATTAATCTTGGGGATTATATAATTTTGAGAAAATTTTAATTATTTTATTAATTTTTTTAAAAAAGACGTATCTTACGATATGTACAATACGCGAATATGATGTCAAAAAATTAGATTTTTTGATACACGATACGATAAACGATTTGATAACCATGCAATCAACAACGTATGCAATCACTGAATTAACCGTGTAAAAATAAGGCAAAACTAGTCCCAATTGGCCTGCAAAGAGGCGTCCAGGGTTGCTCGGGCTCAGTTGAGCTCTAGTGCCAATGTATATTTTTTATATTA